TCTTGGCCGAACGGCATACAACATTTTATCTTCAAAGCACTTTATATAGGTCAATTTAATTCAACATCAAAGCGGCCTAACCTCACTTTTTTAGAATCTCATTTATTTATTAGCTAAAGATTACATTAAATGTACAATAATTATTATTCCTTTTAGAAGCAGTAGTTTGACAATACCTAGCTACATAATTTAAGTAGAAATGGATTTTTTTAAGAAAATGGTTTACTTACCCTCTTGCTATTACATTGAATTCAATTAATTGTTTAATAAATAAGTATCTAATTTCAATTTGTTTGCATTTTTATTAAAAAAAATAGGTAGTTTGGAATGTTTACGCTGTGTTTAACATTTAATTTCACTGAAAACTTAAAACAAATTAAAACTTAAAGATAATTTAAATCGTAGAAAAAGAAAACACAACTGTGAAATCTACAGAAACGTCAAATTGCAATGTCCTAACCTCACTTTTTGTTTTATTATTCATATTTAATTTTACAATAATTTAATGAAAAATAATAAACAATAACAGTAAAACAAACAAATTAGTGCTTATTATAAATAAATTAAACCAGTTTAGTACGTTAATTTCTTAGAAAAGGATTAATTTGCCAAAACAATACCCCTAGCGAGAAAAAATCGAACTAATTACTTGCCTCATAAAAATTTTTATCGGCCTAGGCCATGACAAGTTATTTCTTTATCGGATGTTGACAACAATAAAGTTTAAATTATATAATTATATATAGACCGCGTGGAGATAAATATTATTATGTACTTACACAATCACTGCAACAGTTTATACGCAATATATATATAATTATATAATTATATATAGACCGCGTGGAGATAAATATTATTATTTACTTACACAATCACTGCAACAGTTTATACGCAATACAAATTTCCTTATTATATGAAAAACGATGCAAAAGCACAAATAGAGCACAAACCACCACCACCTTTATCAGCAAAGATGTAAACCACCCACTACGCGTAGCTACGTGACATTTTAAAGTGAAGTGAATCGTCCGAGGTAAAACGACGCGTTACGATATTCCATTTGTTAATTATTAATAAATCATATTTCTTACAAACAATATGATTTAATAGTTAGAAAATGTGACTTATTTATAATAATCATTATTTACGAAATAAAAATTTGGCAACTATTAATAAACAATATTTATTATTAATAAACTGTGAACTAAATACAAATATAACGTATATTAGTAATTTAGTATATTAATAACAAATAAATTTGACTCAAATAAATAATTTTTTTATAAAAAATAAGTTAAATTTCAGAATATATTGTTAGTAAATAAAATTGATTTACAGCAAATTTGATGTATTTATTATAAATAAAAACATCTCAAATAAATACTTATTAATAATTAACCCTAGTATTTCTTTCAGTGTACAATCATGTGTCGCAATACACCCGTTTCCATTTAAAAAATAGGGGTTGTTTTTAACACTGCTAGGGGGTTGATCTAAATTATTCGCCAACCATTGAAAAAGATGTCCTCCTTGCTAATAAAATTGGCCTATTTTAGAATATTTTTGTACTTCGCATTTTAGCTGAGATATAAAGGGTGGTCCCTGATAGAAAATAACGTTTCCGCAACAAATTACTAACGTCAGCGATTTGTTTAATTTATTGTTAAAAATCTAACGTTAGTAATATAACACCAAAACATACAATTATGTAATGTTATAAATATGTATAGTTTTTTGTTGGGAAATCTAACGTTAGACATTTGTATTATTTATTGTTAGAAACCTAACGCTAGTTAGTTACATAACACAAAATTTATTGTTGGTTTATGTATATACATATCTAAAGTTTACTGAAATTGAAAATACTTTATATTTCGGAATAAAAATTTGTTTGTATAAAAAATTTGTTTTCAGACTTAAAATTATCGAACGTTAGTAATTTGTATAATTTATTGTTAGAAACACAAAACATACATTTACCTAACGTTGGCAATTTGTATATTTTTTTGTTTATTTAAATTTTAAGGATATTTAATTTATATTTTATAGATTATAAACTTTTTCACTACAAAAAATGTTTTCGGACTTTTGGAACTTTTTTAAAAGTAGTATTTGTGTTTGGAAATATAACGACGTATTTTTAAAAAAATACATGTTTAGGTTTATTTTTACTTTTATAGCAGATGTTTTATTTAAATAAAAAAAATTGGTACAAAAATGTAGTTTTTAAAGTATATAAAAGTATCTAACATTTAAACATTTGGTACATTTTTTTAATTGGGTAAAAAATAACAAAACTACAGACTTTTAAAGTTGGTATACATATTCCTACATATTCCTACAGTTAAGTAACACAAAATATAACATAAAAAATAACATATAACAGCATTCTAACATAAAACAAGATATAACTCAAATCAAGTATGCTAACGTTAGAAACCGGAACATTTAAACGTAAAATTATACAAAAAATTACGTTTTTGGTAACCTTAGAAAAAACGTTTTTATATCATACAACTTCTACCAGGGGTACGATTTCTAATTGACACCCTGTATCAGTGGCGGCTGGTGGATTTTGGGTATACCAATATTTCAGTTATCAGACATGGGACCCACACCAACTTTATAATAGTTTATAATGACAATGACAAAATAGACAAGTTCGGCGCAAACAGAATTTAAATTGAAGTTTGCGAAAAAAAGTTAGTTTTTCCTGTCGCCTCACCTGCCTCCAGGCCCCCCTATTTAAGATAATTCAAATTAAAGTGGTGCAATTTATTATCTACTATAATTTATTGACAAATTTAAAATTTTATTTAAAAAATCCAAATATTACAGTTTTATACCATTTGAAATATTTTTTTATTTTAATAAAAAAATTGGATTTTTTCAAATAAAATTTTAAATTTGTCGATAAATTATCGTAGATGATAAATTGCACCACTTTAATTTGAATTATCTCAAATACGGGGGCCTGGAGGCGGGTGAGGCGACAGGAAAAAATAACTTTTATTCGCAAACTTTAATTTAAATTCTGTTTGCGCAGAACTTATTTAATGTCATTATAAACTATTATAAATTTGGTGTGGGTCCCATGTCTAATAACTGAGATATTGGTATACATAAAATCCACCAGCCGCCACTGCCCTGTATACTTATTAGAATAGAATACAGTCTTCCATTTTTGTTAAAAATTGCAAAATAAACAAAAAACAATAAAAAGCTTTTAAAAATGACTAAAAATTAAATCAATAATAACTAATAACTGATTAATTTAATGTTACAGTCGGTTTTTTTTTTTGTATATTTTCCAAAACCTATGAGGACGTATTTTAAAAAACGCAGTTTTCAAATAAAATCAATTATCATTATCTTAAGGATGTAGAAATTTTTGATCCAAACTCAATAAGAAATTAGAGTTTTTTTTTTAAATTAAAAAAATTTGAAAAATATCATGATTATATCCATGCGAGTTTTGTTAGTGGATGTAGTTTAGCTTAAAGCACTTATTTCTGAAAATCAAAAACTACGTTTTGTAGAGTAGCTTCTCATATACGATATGATGTACCGCAATAATAAATGCTAACATGAAAATTTATTGATTGAGATTTATTTTGTAATTATAATAATAATAATAATTATAATAAAAAAAATTAAAATTTTAATTTTTTTTATTCCAAACCGTTAAGCCAAAGTAAATTATTTAAATCATTCTAACAGATTCAGATTTGAGATATTTACCCTCACATAATGTCTACAACTAATTAGAAAATATATCTAGCTTGGATTCTTAGAAAAAATGTTTATGAAAGCACCCGTTTAAAAATAAAACTAATAGTTAATATTCGAGGTAATGGTGTATAGTTCGATGAATCAATGTTGCGAAAGATTCGTATGTGTATGGTGTACAATGACCATCCACTGACCCGAACACATTCGATGCTTTCCCGGAAGCTGGGACAAAAGAACATCCGGGCGGCACGGTCACCAAGGCCTCATCATACGAGAGTCATCGGCAGCTAACATTGGACAATTGTGCCCCTGCAATTTTTTCGACACGCTAGTCAGTGTGTAAAGTTAAAAGTGATAACAAGTTAATCGGGGCTATACTAGTGAGTACCAACAAGTTATTTTTAACTGGTTGATGGTGGAACTTTTCTGTACACATTCTTGCATGCGTATGTGTTTATAAATTATTTAATATTTTAATAATTTTTTACATCTATAGAAAAAGTATTTAAAATTAATGAGTTCACTTCCAACAATAAAATGCCATTTTATAATTATAAAATGTTAATATTTTTATATTTAAAATTAGTTCAATGGTTATAATACCATAGATAATGTTGTCTTAGGCTTGCCAAAGGTAGTCTCGTGAAAAATTTCATTAAATTTGTTAAATAAGTACATTTCCTACAGAATGTATGGCCATGTATTTTAGCATTTATCTTAGGCGCTTTTAAGAAAGCGAACTGTAAGCACGTAATCATGTAAGTCGAATATTATAATTTTTGGATCCAGAACAAGATCTCTTAGATAAAAATTAATAATAAGAACAAAGTAATTTAAAATTATTCATTATTCTAATTATCATTTCCAAAAAAGAACTACAATTATGAAATAACATATAGTATTGTATGCAATCCCTACTAAGAAACCTAATAAGAAAATCTTTAAAAACGTAAAATTAATTATTTTATTTTATGCTAGAAACCAAATTTCCGGGGCATTGCCCGTCAATTTGGTATTTTTCTTTAAAAATTACAATATTAAGTTTGGATTTTAATGTATGATTACCTAAATACACCTAAACTGCCAAAAGTTCGTATCTACAATATTAAATACAAAAAGTTAATTTTTAATAATAACCACCAACATGCATGCAGTAATTTAGTAGTAATATTAGGTCATCATGGGTTAAAGTTTGATAGTAATACCTACCTAATAATACTATAATACTAAAATAGATAATATATAAGTATATAACTATGGTTCAATCACTTTATTTAAACGTTTTACAAAGGTTGTAAAAAAACTTAATAATAATAATAATTAATTAAACAACTACATGTCATAAACCGAAGGCAGATACATCTCGGGCTTGTCAAAGCCTAAATCTTCTGGAAGATCGCATCCAAGTTGTTGAATAGTGGGGTAAATTTCTTGCACAATATATGGCCAAATCTGCTTAACTTTGTTACCGCATTTATCTTTAACGCTTTCAAGAAAGCGAACTGTAAGCGCGTAATCATTTAAGCGTCTGCAAGCGTTCAGTGCGGATATTATTATTCTCGGATCAGGAACAGAATCATATGCAACCAAGTCGTTCATTGCTTGGCGAACATCCCAACCGTCTATATCATCTCGTTGGAAATAACATTCGTACCTACAATTTGTATTACTATATTTAGAAAAACAATGTTAACTATTATTCTCTTAATAAAGGCAAAATAAAATAAGAGGAAATTTAAAAAACTACTAAAATAAATATCAAACAAGTTATTGGTACAGCAAATTAGAATAAGAATTACCAGGCCCGTGCGCATGGGGGAGTTTGGGTATTCAAGCTCCCCTCAAAGAGGTGTTTAAATTACAATTTTCGCTTGAAATATTGAAAAGTAACCTAAAAATACATAACTTTTGTATAAAATATTTCACTTAAAATACTAAAAAATTCTAAATTAAGACCTTTAACACAAAAAATATATATAATTTGCATTATTTTTTGAAAAATATGACTAAATTAGCTTAATACTGACAGAAAAATAACCTTAATTTGTGCGAATGCGAATACGAATGCGAATCTTAAAAATCGTGCGAATATTCGCGAATGCGAATATTCGTTACATCGCTATAGCAGGTATCAATTAATTACTATAGTAGGTATCAATTATGTAATTTTTGAATTAGCTTTATACTGGCAGAAAAATACCCTTAATTATTTCTATCAAAGTCACGTGGTGAGATGCAATGTGCTAGCACTGGATGCTTTGGACGATAAACGTAGGTGTATACATGCTTCAGCATTAATATATATATATATATATATATTAATATATACATTCAATGTTTCGATTTGTTATGTAACCACTTAGTATGTTTGAAAGAATTTTTTGCAGATTTTGTTCACTTACTAATAATTATTTTTATTTATTTGCCTCTGCTTTTAAAATATTTGCAATAAATAGGTACATTATTTCATTACATACACAACTTCCCTTTTAAGAATAATAATAATAATTATAATAATAGTTTATTTGCAGAAGGTGTACATTATTTTACATTATATAATATGTATAATATTTTACATTATATAATATGTATACAATTAACGACACTAGTAGAAATTTTACGTAGAACTTTTATGTATAATTTAATGTTGAAATGTCCCGGTTTATAACGTTATATGACAACGTTAGTTATAAAAAGTTGGAAATACATGGGATTTGTGTATTATAGAAAGTTGAAAATATGTGGGATTTATGTATTATAAAAAGTTGGAAATACGAGGAATTATTGTATTATAAAACGTTGGATTTTTGAATAATTTTTAGTAGGATTTTACACTGCCAAAACTAATGGAAAAATGAAAAAATATTTAAAAACATTACAAACATTTATTTGTCTAAATCTAAAATATTTGCCAGGTAGACAATATACAATGGTAAAAGTTCTCCTCCAGTGGCAGCAAACATTACGGAAGTTGAAGAATTGTCTAATATTTTGAGTGTTTTTCCTATTTTCACAAAAACTCTTTGTTTACCTGAGTTACCAGGTCCTGGCCAAGCATCTCTTATTTTCTTTGTTTTTGTAAAAATATTGGTTTATTACATCATCTATGCATGTTTCTATATTTTCAGCATTCCTTTGAGTTAACAAAATTTTTGCTACAGGAAAAATTTTAGCCAGTCGTTTTTCCAGGAAGGTTTTCTTTAAAATAACTAATTATTACTCATTTGTGGTTTAGATATGTTTTACAAAATATTATCCATTATCTGCAGCTGTAATCATTACATTTGTTAAATACCTTTCTTTAATTTCACTTAAAGCAGAAGCCCTTCCAAATACATTAGAATATTCTTCGCTTTATATTTGCTCTATAAAGTAGGAACATCAAAGCGGGTAGCAATAATTTCTTTGATACACCGTTCCAGGAACACGTTTATGTTTTCTATGCATCGTTCCATATAACCCTTAAAATCTAGGCTAAAAAGCAAACTTAAAAAAACACTTTTTTTTAAGAAATTGTTTAGGTTATGTTTTATAAATAAATAAACTTTACCTATATTTCAACTATATTTTCCCATAAAACACTGAGCAGAATTTGTACAATATTTGGCGGTATGTTAACACTAATAAGTAGGGATGGGATATTTAGGTACTAAAACTAAAAAATAGGTAACTAAAAAGGTACTAAAAAAGGCATTTTAGGTTAAAAAAACAGCATTTAGGTAAAAAAAAACATTAAAAGTTCAAGTTTCTTTAATAATTTTGTTTAGCCGCATACCCAAACACAGAACATACCCACAATAAACTATTTCTATGCAATAAACTGTGTTTCACTGAGTGACACTCACTACACAGAAATTCTATGACAGAACATAAGCTCAATACAAAGAAATACTGTAAAGAAAGTTACTGTTACAGTCTGTGACCCATAGAAATAATTTAGAATAATAGAATAATTTCTATGCTGTGACCATAAGAAAAAATTCTATACCGTTGAGTTGCACGCACTGGATAAAATATTGGCGGAAAATTTAAAAAGAACACAAAAAAATAAAATAAGTAAAAATACGTAAAAATAGATATCAAATATGTGAAAATAAACTGACAAATTAAAAAATATGTAACAAAAGTATAAAAAGGTAGTTTAAAGCAAAAACCTCCAAAAAAGGTAAAAAAGGTGAAAACAAGTTAGGTTCATATAAAAGAAAATCTTTTAAAACACATTTTGCCATTATTGGTTTTCAAATAGTTACATCGGTTGAAAAAAGGTAAAATAACTAAAATCCCATCCCTACTAATAAGTTATTAGTAATAACACTATGATAGTATAATTTAGTAACATTGAGTACGCCCACCTATATTACCTAATTTTGGGCTGCTGATTTCAAAAATGCCACTTGTTTTGCTCCAGGACGTCTAGGATTCTAAATAATTGCGTAATAAAATGCTCTGCCCAATTACCTCAAAATGTAAGTTTTTTGTTAATATTTTGATTATTTATTAAATTATTTTGCCTTAAATCTATTTTGGATGTTCAGTATATTTTTGACGTTTTTTGTCACTTTATTGTTCAAACCCACTAAAGTGCATCTATTAATTATTAACATTTAAAATTTAAACTTTAAATTGCATTTTTACTTGAAAGTGATTTTAAGAAACAAAAATGAAAAAAGAGCAGGAAATGGAAGTGGTAATGGAAGTGGCGGAGAAAAGAGACGAACATTTATGTCGTCGTTGTAAATTTGTTTTGTTTTTTGTTGCGGTACCTTTACGCCCAAGAAAAACCAACGCAGGAATATTAAATGGACCTGATATACGACGTTTAATGAAAGATCAAGCATTCCAAAATGCTCTCAAAGTTGACGAGATTGTCGCATATATGGCAGTGTTAAAGCTGTCATTGAAAATGTTCTTGGTTCATATCGGGCCTAAAATTGGAACAATTCATTAAAAAAATGTTTTTCGTTTTGCAAAGAATTAGCGTTAATATGTCATTTAAACTCCATTTTCTTTTTTTTTTTCATCCTGATAAATTTGCCGAACTGATGAACATGGAGAACGATTTCACCAAGTAACTGCAAATCTAGATCATTGGTAGATATCTATGGGTATAGCGGAAAGAAGTTGGATTCATTGCTAGGAGACATTTGCTGGAATTTGCAAGATGTACGACGATGATGAGGATTTAGCACAATAATACTATAATTCAATTTGATACTTGATACGATTTAATAAATTTAAGGTAGAAAAAAGCAAAATTATGCAATGCATTAAGTTTAGAGGGTTTAGTTTGGATAAAAAAATACTGAAACTTGTTTGCTTTGTTGCCCTTTCAATTTAATAATAAAAATAAACGACAAAAAATGTCAAATAATGGTTGTTTTTTTTACATAAAATACATTAAAATTTTAGTTTTAGTATTTAAAATGTCATATTGTTAAGATAAATATGATCTAAACTGCGCACCACTCAATGTGTCGCGACCAAAAAGTTCGTTCTTTTTCAAAACGACATAACTTTTTTGTTTCTTGAACGATTTTATTTTGGTCTGTGATGTCTCCTAGCCCCATCCTCTTTCAATTCATGATATAGATATGAAGCTCAAGGTTCTTCAAGTAAATTTCCTACAGGGTGATATGTTAAACGGTGAAAATTTTCAATAACTTCATCCAAGCCCCGTTTGTAAAAAAATAATTTTTTTCTCATTTTTACTTTGAAATATGAAGTATTATGTTTTACCTTGAAACGATTTTTAACTTTTTCAAATTGGAATCGTAGCAACAAAAATATGATTTTTTTTCTAAAAGAGTACATTTAAGGCTTTTTTGTAGGCAATTTAACAGCCGGGAATTGTTTTAGAATTTTGATTCTTAGTGATTTTGGTTTTATCTGAAACTTAAATTTGACAACTGAATCACAATCAGGAGGTCAAAATTATAAAGAAAACATGTCACGAACGTAAATATAGGTTCAGGATTGGTTTTCGCAAATTTTCACCAAAATGTCATTTTAAAAAAGTTGTCTTTGCTTAGGCCCCTCTGAAAATAATGGAATTTTGTTGCTTGTCGCTTATTCAGAATTATTCAAGGAACAATCTTTCACCATCTTATTTTCTTTTTCTTAAAAAGACTGAGTGTATTGCCTACCAAAAAGCCTTAAATGTACTCTTTTGTAAAAAAAAATCAGATTTTCGTTGCTAAGATTCCAATTCGAAAAAACTTCATTATTTCAAAGTAAAAACGAGAAAAAAATTATTTTTTTACAAACGGGGCTTGGATGAAGTTATTGAAATTTTTGACCGTTTTACATATCACCCTGTACGAAATTTACTTGAAGAACCGTGAGCTTCATATCTATAGCATGAATAGCCAGAGGATGGGGCTAGCAGAAATCACAGACCAAAATAAAATCGTTTAAGAAACAAAAAAGTTATGTCGTTTTGAAAAAGGACGAACTTTTTGGTCGCGACACATTGAGTGGTGCGCAGTTTATTTGCCATATACCAATTACTTTAGTACATTCAAGATAAATTTAAGTCAAAATAATTTAATAAATAATTAAAATACCAATAAAAAACTTACATTTTGAGGTGATTGAGCAGAGCATTTTATTACGAAATTATTTTAAATCCTAGACATCCTAGAGAAAAACTAATTA